TAGTATTTTTAGTTCGTTATTGTTTTAAGCTTATTCGAAAAAAATATTTTCAACTTTTCAGTTCGATGTTCTTTAAAAGCACGTTTTTCGGTTTTTCAAACTATATTTATTTTTTACTAATTATATCTACAATTCAATCAGTGATGATTTTTCACTGCATCTGTCAAGTAATTGAATGAACAGATATTGATGTAATTGTAACCCAAAAAATGTTTCCTCATAAATTATTCTACAAATCAAACAATATTGGAAAAGTACGAAACTGTAGGTAATATGGAAACGAGAGGAAAATAAAGTGAAAAATTAATAGTGCTTTTGAATGTCCAAAGACAGATTTTAAGGTTTATTGAGTCGGTGGATAAAGCTGAAAAAAGTACTTTATTATTGGAAATATCGTGTTAATCTCAAAATTATTTAGAAGAGTAGTTTTTAGTAACCTCTTGTCATATTTTGTTGACATAATGCAATATTAACAATGTTCTAAGTCTTTAGTCATAACTATCAAAAAGTACTATTTTCCACGATAGTTTTATATTTGTTGACTAGTTTCGGCCATTACACCATCTTCAAAACTCAATATAAAACTATCGTGGAAAATGGACAAAAGTATGTTTTTATAGTTTTTATTGTGTATCCTCAGTGAACATGAATTTCCACAAAATAAACAAGTCGTCAATTAAATAAGTATCCAAACATAGTTATTGGTTTTGAAAACAGTTTACTATTCTTATTCGTTCCCCAATACTCTGAAATAATGTCATGGTTCATTTACAGGTTTATACCGAAAGTCAGAAGCTGTGTAGAGATCCATGAGGCGCCTTGTAAGAATCCTATCACCAAACAAGCTGCTCTTCACTATCTTGATGCAGTAGAGAAAACTTCTAAAGACGATTGCGAATCTCTGAACGAGGCCTAACTCGGCAAGAGATATGAATATGTATATTACTGAAAAACAAGAGAATAATAATACTTTTCAATACTGTTTTTTGTTTGAAACTAATCCAGTACAAATATCATTCCTCTAATAATACATAGACCCGTTATTTAATGGAAATTAATACCAATCTGCACGATAATGAAAAAAATTTCTCACTATCAACTTCAGTGTTTTGCTACACATCAGCTTTCTCAGTTGAAATGGTATATTGAACTTTTTTCAAAAGACAAAACAAAAGCACTACAGGAAAATCCTAAGAGACAAATCTCCAACCTTTCTTCAATATTCCAGACTATCAAGGTTGCAAGTGATGTTCGCGACTCCAATCAGGCGAATGGCTCTTTTCTGGATAGAATCCAGCAGCTTCAGGGTATGCTTAGGGGCGGAGCTCCATACATGAGAACAATACTCCAAAGAAGGTCTGATCTGAGCTTTATAAAGCATTGAAAGATTTTGGGGTTTGAATCTGTTTAAAATATGTTTCTCCGTTAATCAGCTGTCGCCCCCCATACGAACGACAACTCTCAGAAGTTGAGAAACTTGTGCGAGCTAAGGACTAACGAGGTCATACCTTTTAACGTTTGATTCCTAACACGATTCCAGAATCATCCCAGCTTCAACCAGATAAATTCTCTCGAGAAAAATATCTGGTCGAGGCGGGAATCGAACCCACGGCCTTCCGAGTCGGGCGCACTACCAAGGCGGCCAAACTGTAGGTGTCTACAGTTTTCTGGTTCGGAACAGTATTCCAAGCTTTTGAGAAGCAGCCTTTGTAATTCCAGCGACATGATTGTGCCAAGACATATTGATGTCCATTTTAACCGCCAACAAACTTATCGAAGCAAAATGGGAAATTGTCTGACTTCACATTATTATATCCGGTTCGGAGACATTCATCTTCTTGGAGACAATCGATGTCTGGGTTTTTGTAGCATTGAATTGAACCTGGTTACTTTCTCCCCAATTCGAAATCATTTCAATTTCCTCATTAAGATATGCAACCTCCACCTGCCGGTGAAGATGTGCCTCCGTAGCCGATGTCCTGGTATCCAAATGGAATGACTAGACAAGCGTGCTGCAAAGCAATATATTGCACTCTTGGTTTTTTTCAAAAGTCGTTGATATACAATAAAAAGAGGGTTGGAGATAAAATGGATCTCTGAGAAACACCATGGTAAAAGTATTCGGGAGATATCCATCGACGGAAACTTGCAGGGAACGTTGATTCAGAAAGCTGTAGAGCCACCCACAAAAATGATCCGACAAGCTATAGCATCAAATCATCTCCAATTGGAGCATGGTAATAGTGTCATAATTTTCAGATATCATATTACAGACTATAGATATCATATTACAGCTCCTTATGAATCCACTTCACTACTCCAAACGAGTAGAGTAAGATTGGAATGGCAAGCTTATTCGTTGAAGCAACCTTGTTCTTCCTTGGCAGTTCCGATGACCAGACCTGCCGGAGTTTGTGCTGATACTTACCGCGGAAAGAGTTCTTCACTGTTGTTACCTCTTGTGAGGGTCGAGAAAAGTATACATCTCTCTCCGGTATCCAAATGGTGCAGGATGCTTCCATTTAAAAGCTGGATTTTCTCTCCATAGTCTCCGCATTGTCCTCTTTCGAGATGGACCACTGCACATTTGTCTATACCGAATTTCATACCGATAGCAAGCATGTACTCTTCCACTACCCTCAAGAACTGATGGATGTCCTCTTCTCCGGCATAAGGTTCAAGAGATCATCCATACAGAATAGGGTGACCTTAGGCCTTCGGTTTCCGGTGGTGCCACACTTATACCCTCAACTATTTCTGACCGCAACAGATAATAGCAATAGTGAGATGCAGAAGGGAAGGGACTGAGGGAACCGCCCTAAAATACACCCCCTGTGAAAATGACCCACCCTTTCTTTCTGTTTGGACTTTAGTCTATACTGTATGGAGTCCTGCGTTACACTTACACATCTATTGAAGATCAGGTTCTCTTCACATCCAGCGACTCCTCTCTTCGACTCTGTCTGTTTATATATGTGTTTGAACACTCGGTCAACTGCGATGAGTATTCATGTATATAAGATGCTCGTAAATTAACACGAATTCAAGCATATTATCGGCATGTAATTCTCAGGTAACAAATAGTTTTCATTTTCAAGGATGAGAACAAACAAACCAATAATAAAACAATTCAGAATCGGCCGTTCTCCGTCCAGCCATGACTTGATAACTCTGCTCAGATGGCGGTGGGTACTTGGTAGTCATTCCACCAATAAGTGTTCAGCCCAGCTGGGTTTGGAGCAGCAAAGTTTTGGGAACTCACAAGGGTAGTCGCGCAGTTTATTGAGCTCAGGTTATCGAAGCCCTCTGCTGAAAGCTTCGAACTGCGATATCTGGTGTGTCTAAGTTGGCTCTTGGAATGAACGAGAAGGTTTCTCGCGGAATCTAAGGTTTTCCGCGATACTTCTCGCTCGCCACACTAGTGACTTCTTAGCAGCCACTAGCATTCGTATCCTATAAAGGCAGTGCCGTTTGGTGGTCAGCAACACATCTTGACTCGAAGTGTGATGGATACGTTATAATTTGGAGGCTATTCGCCGCACTGCAGGCGTGAAGAGCCATTTGACCGCGCTGTGATCCACCACACATTGGATTCGAGACGCGCGTTTTCTCTTAGATGTAATCTCAGCCTCCATCTTGTGTACCCGCTTATCAATCGTCCGAACAGCAAGGCTGGGATTTCGTCCTTCCGACTCGGGAAGCGATTGAACAGTGCTGTACATAGCCGTGTTAATGTGTTATCGATAGTCTAATTGTATATTATTATTATTTTCATCATCAAATCGAATTGACTTGTAGCTAAATTCTCTGATAAATTGATAAAGGCGATGATATCTCAAAGATGTTATCTATGGAATTGACAGAAGACTCAATCTACGAATATCTGAGGCAAACAAGGCTTCTCAAGGTGGTTCGTTGCGTAGTCAAGCTTTGATACTAACCACCGAATGAGATTCGTTCTATGTATTTCACTGCAAAGTAATAACTAGTTGAAACCAGAGCTCAAAAAATAAAGATTTCCTGGTTTGTTTCGAAAAACCGTACTCTCTCGTGTTTGTAGAAAATACTTATTTACTTTCTCAAAATTAATTAACGTTTTTTCTTCGCATATCATATCAACGTCTCTTCGTTATTTAGACGTCTGTTTATGAGAGATGATTAGTGAGAGTAAACATTCTGACCTATGCGATACTCTTTCCAGCTGATTCTGGCTTGTTTTTATAATCTTTGAATAATAATGTAGTCCAGCAAGGAAATGTTACAGTAAATAAATCAGTAAATTCACGAAAAGCAAATCAATGGAATTTTTGGTAGATCAATCTGGTTCACAGAGATGACCTTTTGAAGTAATGTTTGAATGACGGAAGATCATTTTTATAATATTTTTACTAAATTTCTTCTATAAGTGATAAAATACTTCAATTTGTTTGCAACTTTTTTTTTGATAGTTCGTACTGGAACCTCTGGCGTAAAATGAATTTATTGAAAACACTTTCTCAACACCAGAACAAACATTACGGTCTCTCGACGCGAGTTTCGTCCTCGGATCATTATGACTACATTTTATCACTATGTTAGTGTTTTTATAATATTAGTGTTTTTATATAAAAACACTAACATAATAGTAAAATTTTGTGACCAAATATCACTACTATGTTAGTGCTTTTATACAAAAATACTAACATAATTTAGTCACAATGATCTGAGGACGCTAACTTGGTTAGCGAAACGCGTGTCGAGAGACCGTAATTTTTGTTCTGGTGTTTTGAAAGTGTTTTCAATGAGCAGTTTCCGAAAAATAGCGTTCTAAACTTACACATGTAATTAGAATTTGCCTGTTCTGAGACGCACTATTCTATTGACTCCTTTTAATAAAAATGGTTAGAAGGATAATAAAATTTGTTATCGAACTCCCCTCTAACATAACGGAAAACTTCACTAGGAATTGACTGGCATGCTGCTGTAATTCTTTTTTTAAGTTCTTCAATATCAGAAAGTTGTGTTTTATAAATAACGGCTTCAAGATCCCCCAAAAGAAAGAAATCTAAGAGTGGTAAATCCGTTGATCTCGGAGACGATTCAACTGCTTCCCTTCTGCCAATTTATCTATACGGAAATCACTCGTTTTAACACTGTCGGATGGGAAGAAAATAATGAAGTGAAGCACCGTCCTGCCGTGTCTCACGGTGGCATCCGCGAAGGTTTTGGAAGGTGCAGCGACATTACTGTCGTTGCACGACTTCTTCATCCTTCTTGGGGTTCCCTCCGTGGAGGTGCACAAGTGAGGGAGCTTTCCTGCAGGGGCGCCCGCCGCAGGAAGTGCCCTTGCTGTTGGAGGTGGAATGGGGGAGGAGGTGGATGCACACATAGTTGCTGCCACTCCTGCCTCTTTCGCTCTCTTTCTCCTTTTGGTCTCGGCGCCGCAAATGCGCTTAAGCCTTGGTCTTTGTATTAATTACATCACGAGGTGATCTGCTATGTCCAGCCTCATTCCAGCGGAAGATTAGGGTGGACATTTCTGTTTATCCCCAGCCACCGCTTCAGACCAAGGTCAGCACTTCTGTTCAGCCTCGGGATTGGTTTTTGTTTTTGTTATTTCTGTTTTTGTGTTTGTTTCTTTCATGTGTGTTTCCACGAGTAGCAAGGGAAGAGTTGATCACCTCTGGTAAAGCCCCGCATTACCAGAGATTACAATGAGGTTTCGCCCAGTTCCCCAAGGGATCGTTCGTGACCGATTTTCACCCTGCGGCCATTCAGCTGTCGGCAAAGGCTTTTGCAAAGGCTTTTGGGGAGTTTTAGTTCCCCTCACCCTACTTATTTCTGCCACTGACCAGGAGTCCGGCGACCCCATCCGTAAGACCACATTGGCTTCCCGAACAGGGCCTTCAGTGCCCTGGCCGTTCCCCTATCCGCCATTTGAGGACACGCTCGATAGGTAGCCCAACCCACGGGTGTCGAGATGTTAAAATAATGGTTTGGTGTTGGGAAAAAACTCCAGTAAAATTAATTATTCGATGCCAAGAAATAAGGCTTTTGGGGAGTTTTAGTTTCCCTCACCCTACTTATTTCTGCCACTGACCAGGAGTCCGGCGACCCCATCCGTAAGACCACATTGGCTTCCCGGACAGGGCCTTCAGTGCCCTGGCCGTTTCCCTATCCGCCATTTGAGGACACGCTCGATAGGTAGCCCAACCCACGGGTGTCGAGATGTTGAAATAATGGTTTGGTGTTTGGAAAAAACTCCAGTAACATTGATTATTCGATGCCAAGAAATAATTGGGTGGTTATTTGGTTTATTTTTAAGATCTTTCTTGCCACGATTGGCACAAACCAATTCAAATACTCTGGATGATAATTTCATCGCTCTTCAGTTCAAGATATTCGGGAGCATAGTTTGCAGTTTATTTACGGCAAAGATCACTCTTATAGCGTAGTTATTTCCGAAAATCTCTATGATAATTGCTACATTCCGTATCCCTCGCTTCTTTCTTGAAATCCAATTGTGCTATTTTGCATCTACATTAGGAAAATTTTCTGAAACATCACTGATCACGATAATGAAATTTAGAATTACTTCTGAATTGTTTTTATCATTCCAAAGTATTGATTCCGTAATATTTTCGTTATTGTTATTGAAGAGTATTGATAAGGAACATTATTGCAGATTATTCAACAGGTCACAGTCCACACTTGAGAGAACTTTCCTTTGTGAATGCTTGAATATAAAGTTAAAGAGAAATCAGACAGCTTAAAAGGAGTCCCACAGGCTGGTACACTCAGTCCCTTATTATAAACTTATGCAAGGTAAGGATTGACGAGGCCGTACGTTTTAACGTGCGATACCTAGCACGAATTATTATTATTATTATATTAATCATAACCTGATGTTCGACAAACAAGTGAATTATCTTTTGAAAAACGCCTATGAAAAGTTGAGAACACTGTATATGCAAAACGATATTCTTATCGTAGATATTAAACTCAGGTTGTGTGGCCTGCATCCAGTGATAGTAAATAACATTCGGAAATCACAGATTGCAGGTATAAGATACAGTTGTATATAAAGCAAGTATGACCATATTATCACTGCATTCCGAACGTATTCATCATTAAACTTGAAAGCAAAATAAATGTGAGCTCTCAAATTCACAAATAGAATAATAGTCCTAGCGCTCCAGATTCCAGTTTTTTTTAAACTTTTAATGAACCTGATGTATCTAACTGCTCAAGAGTAAATACTTGAATTTTTTTGTAATTCGCATTTGCTGGGAACGTTGTTGGACAACATATATGCGGCTTCTTTGAATTTTCTCCTAAACAAGTGTTCCTCCTTGTGGATAATTTCAGCTTGAGCCCACTTGATGTTATGTTGATGAGACCAAACATGCTTTGCTATTTTTGATTTGCTTGTTTCTCCACGCTGTGTGTGTTTCTTGTGCTCGGCAATGGCCTCTTAGTTTCACGGATGTATGATTATCCGCACTCGCAGGGTATCCGGTAAATGCAATTCTTGGAATCGCAGTCCGCGTTGGTGGCCTAGTTTTCGTGAGACTGCTATGGATAGTATTCCCTGATCTGAAGCAGGTTTTGATGTTATACTTGGACCCATTTCTTCTTATTTTTTCCGACAATCCTCTGATGTAGGGAAGTACAAGTATTGGTTGTGGCGGCTTCTCTTCCTTGTGGAGCTCTTGCTGTCTTCTAGCTAAAGCCTGTTCCACCATCACTTTGGAGTAGCCATTCCGTTTAAGGTAATTTTTGATGATACCTAATTCCTTTCTGAGACCTTCCTTTGATGATTTCTCTCTTAGTCGATTGATGGTGGTTAGATTCCTGGTTCAGATACTATCCTGTGTGAGTGAGTTTTCGATATACAGATGTTTCCCATTTAGTGTCGGTTCTCTTCACTAATACGTTTAAGAAAGGCAATTCATTGTGGACTTTCTTCTCCATTGTGAAAGTGATGAAAGGACTCACGTTGTCGATGTGCTTAAGAAAGATGTCTAGTTCTTCATTCCCATGGTTCCATATTATGAAGGTGTCGTCCACATATCTCAACCAGACTCGGGACTTCTTGTGGGTTTCTTCAATGGGCCGCTACAACCAGCCGCTACAACCATCCGAGCACAAGAAACACATACAGCGTGGAGAAACCAGTAAATCCGGAATAGCAGAGCATGTTTGGACTCATCAACAACATCAAGTGGGCTCAAGCTGAAATCATCCAAAAGGAGGAACACTGGTTTAGGAGAAAATTCAAAGAAGTCGCATATATATTGTCCAACATATATATTTTCAAGCTAGCGTAGAGATACGCAACATATGGAAAACTCTGTTCAAGCGGAACACGACCAACTCCCGCCAAACGGTCAGCTTCCGCTAAAAATCAAAGAAGCGGGGAGAGGGAAGAGGGAAGAGGGGATAGGTGAAAGCTGACCTATAAATAATCAGATCTCAGAGGAATAAGTCCAGTTATCACCCGAAGACGATTGTGGATACCAACAATCCAAACGTCGTGTAGTAACTTGGTTTGGAATCTTTTAATTTTAATTATAATTTTTCAATTCTTGTTAATAATTTTTTTAATGTTTAGAGCAACGATGTTGAATTCCCCCTTCGATAATATTTGTATATATAAAGGTTGTTTCAGAAAATAAAGACATATTATCATTATTAATATTATGATTATTCTACTTATTGTCGAAATCATAGTTTTGAGGACATTTTCAAACGAATACAATATTCAATAAATTGATGGAGTAGCCGTTACTACGTTGTAGGAAATCATAATGAGGAAAAGAGAAATGAAACTTTCTATGTTTTTTACCATAAAAGTGATGGCAAAAAACATAGAAAGTTTCATTTCTCTTTTTTCAATACAATATTCATTTGAAAATGTCCTAATAGAACGAAACTGCAATAACGTTAATTGCAAATATAAGTGGTATGATGATCTCCTACCACTTAGTAATGGCTACATCCACCAATTAATTGAAAGTAAGTTTTCAACGTTGATGTGTCTCACTTTCGAAGCAGAAATATACTTCTCCTAAGATTATTCTCTCAAGAATACATTTACTTTATTTCAAAATCCTTCATAACAATTTTCACCCTTTAGATTTCTTATGAATAACTCCCAAAAATGTCCGAAACCACTAGGGCGAACTCAATCATTCATTATTTTCAATTATTTTAAAATGTATTCTTCTAATGAAAATCTGTGCCTAGCATATGAAAATAACAGTAATGGAACCCATCGTACATTTTCAGAAATGTTATTTTTATAACGATTCTTTCATCTCTATTAGTTTTGTTATCAGTGATCCCATGACACCGAGAAATGTGTTAACAATTTCTATCATATAAAAACTCGAAAAATATTCTACTAGTTGCTAACTGAGAAGGTTGCGGTGTTTTACAAATAGAAAATATTGACCTATCAAAATGAATACTTTCGCATTATTAGCTGTTCTTCTTTTTGCATCTGGTAAGCATGATTCAATAAACTGTTGTGGATATTATCCATGATAATAATCACACAATTTTCACAAACAATTCAATTCGTTTGTAAACATTATTTTTTAAATTATTTTTGTGAAAATTGTGTAATTCATCATGCATAATGTTACTGATTTTCATCAAGTAGTTAACGGGTCAGTCTATTCATATGTTGTGAAGATTTATGAAAAAAAATCAGTTTCCAATTGCCAGTGATTTATTTTTTGCCCACACGGAAATAGAAAATAGAGAAATTATAATCATTACGATTTCACAGTATATGCCGAATCCAACGAAAGTAGTTCTCTTGAAGAAGAAGACATTAAAGAAATAGCTGAAATGGTTAAAGAAAAGTTCAATTCTACAATTGTTTTTGACGTTTTGAGACTGGCCAAACTGACAAAAGATAAATGTCCAGATGTCGAAGAAAAAGCAGAAGTAAGTATCAATGTTTCTGACTTGAAAATTTCATTAGAGACTAGTAGTATACAAGTATAAAATTTGAAATTATAGATCAGGTTCTCTTCACATCCAGCGACTCCTCTCTTCGAGCCTCTCTGCTCATATATCCGTTCNCAAAAAATTATGAAGAATCTTTTTTGTAGATCGTTCAATTTTATACAATATTTTTGATGAATTAGTAAAGAGTTATGAAATTCTAAACTCAAAAAAACAGCTTTCTCATGTTAATCATACGGGAAATTGAAATTTACCAATGGAGATATCTCAATATCAATATTAAGGGCTGTGGCTTTCACAGGATTTTTTTTCACCATCTCCAACAATAGTTGCGATATATTCAGGTAAAATAAAATAGTCGATTTTTTTAATCAGTCTACTATATACATATCGGTTTCATCGGTTTCATTTTTCGAGAGATTTTGAAGTACTAAACACTAGAAAAATTCAAGAAATACTTTCTTGAAGTGTTCGTGGAATAAATTAGAAGTGCGTATTTAAAACAAAAAGTTAATAATAAAATTAAATGAACGAAACGTCGCATTGCAAGTTTGTTTAATTAATATTTCCATTCATTTATATTTACTCCATAAGAATATAAATTTACAAAAAAATATTTCTGAAGGTGTCTCTCACATCACGATAATCTTGTAACAATAATTTTGTATAATCCAGACTCCAAAAAAACATTTCAATGAAATATATTTCGAGATCAACTTTTTTGTAGAATGCTTTAGGAGAAATTGCAGAGTGTATCTCTGACATCGAACTTGGATCAGAGACTTTCTGTTCTCTCATCAGAAACAATTGGGAAAAATGCTCGAAACCTGGTTTGGACGCAGTAGCCAGTTGTCTACCGGAAGAATCGAAAGATCTTCCCTACATGTTCTCAAAAATTATTGCGGCCATTGTGGATGAAGCTTGCAACTCCACCGTTGAAGAAATTTTAGGTGAGTAAAGAAGCTTCTCAGAAAACTTTGTTCAATACCTAGCAAAGCTTCGTTTAGTATCAATAGCTGATGGAATTAACGATAGTAATTGCCTGAAAAGTTGCAATATAATCAAAATCATATACTATTGAATAACTTCCTTCCTTCGAAAGTATCAAATACAAACCCTTCTTTGATTTTCACAGTAAATTTTGGTGATGTTAAATTATGATTGATTTTTTTGCTGGCATCTTTTTGGCAACACTGTTTATGACAGATCACGCGTGAATCGTGTCTTGTGTCATTGTCAAACTTGTTTAGTTTGGTCTATACTTTAATCATGAATCGACTTACGAATGAACAATGCTTGCAAATTATTGAATTTTATTATCAAAATTCATGCTCGGTGAAAAAAGTGCATCGTGCACTTCTTCCATTTTATGGGCAGTTTCGTCGGCCTACTGAGGAAGCTATTCGGAAGTTTGTGACTAAATTTCCCAGTTTACATTATTGGACATTAAACTACCAACACGCATACGTAGAGTGAGGACCGAAAAAAATATTGCAGCTGTATCCGCCAGTGTTCGTGATGACCATGAAATGTCGATTCGCCGCCGTTCGCAGCAATTGGGCCTCTGTTACTCCACTACGTGAAAAATTTTGCGAAAAAATTTGGGTGTAAAACCTCATATGATACAGCTGGTGCAAAAATTGAAGCCACACGACCTCCCACAACGTCTAAAATTTGGTGAATGGGCGCTGGAAAAGTTGTAGGAAAAAGTGTGTTCAGCGACGAGGCTCATTTCTGGTTGAATGGATACGTTAACAAGCGAAATTGCCGCATCTAGAGTAAAGACCAGGCACAAGTTCTGCAAGAGCTACCAATGCATCCCGAAAAAGTCACTGTTTGGTGTGGATTATGGGTCGGTGGCATTATCGGGCTGTACTTGTTCAAAGACGACAATGCCCGGAACGTTACTGTGAATGGCGAGAGCTACCGTGTGATGATTGACGACTTTTTGTTGCCCAAAATGGAAGAATTGGACATGCCTGACATGTGGTTTCAACAAGACGGTGCCACATGCCACACAGCATGCGAAACAATGGCCCAATTAAGTGCCGCCTTCGGTGAACGTTTGGGGCCCGTCAATTGGCCGCCTAGATGGTGTGATTTAACGCCTTTGGATTATTTCTTGTGGGGTCATGTTGAGGTTCATGTCTACAGGGATAAACCAGCAACGACTGACGCTCTGGAAGTCAATATTGAAGCTATTATACGTGAAATACCGGTCGATATGCTAGAGAGAGTGTGCCAAAAATTGAACCTTGCGCATGGGCCATCTAAAGCGGAACCGCGGACAACATTTGCATGAAATCATCTTCAAATAATAAATTATATTGATCGTTCTATCGCTTCCAATAAAAGTTTCATCAATTTTCTCAAATTTTTTACGTTGTTTTGAAAATCAAATCCTATATACCTCTTAAAAATCACCCATCACTAGAGAGACTAGTATTTGGTAGACGTTTGGAGACTTTTTTGAAGCGATGAATTGAAAACTAGTTTGTCAATAATACTTCCGTACTATCAAAATGCTGAAAAAAAATATAAACCTTTTATTATTTATACTTCGGTAAAAAAAATAATAATAATAAGCGAGTTTACCAGCTTCAGTTTAGGCCGAGTTCACCAGATCCCCGGGCAACTGATGAACTCGGTTTAGTTTTCGATACTGAGCGAGGTGACCAAGTTGGAACCCGTCCAGCAAAAGGTCCGTATAAAAGATCCAGAGATCTCTTCGTTCCTGCGGCAACACAAGGAAAAGCCAATCCATAGGATCTTCTTCGACAACATTGAAGACCTTGGATCATCAAAGCCCCCGACCATCCCTTTCCTCAGGTCGAGTGGGGTGAAGAAGGAAACTGAGAGGTTAATCATGGCCTGCCAGGATGGTGTCTTCAACACCTTAGTCTACCGCAGTCGCGTGATGGGTATAGACTGTATAGAGATTCCACAAGCAATGCGTCGTTGCTGAGACTTCGAGATATGACTTTCGTCCTCGCAGTCAACGCACATACCACTGATGATTTCTACCGTAGTAGCTGACGAAATGTTTGGTATTTGTAACTGTAGAGTAGTGAGGGTGAGTGTAGTTATCGTGTATCCACGATAACTTTGGACACTCACATAAGACATGCCTGACAGTTTCATCTTCTTGTTCACACATCTTGCATAGAGGTGTGTCCACTAGCCCCATAATATGGAGGTGTTTCCTTAGTTGACAGTGACTAGTCAGAAATTCTACTGTTAAGCACAGGTTTTCCTGGTCATCACGAGATATTTATTCGGCGCCAGCTTCCCAGGGTCGCCCAAGGTGATCCTGGCAAGACTGCATCCTTTGATTCCCTCCCATCTCTTTAGGGATTGAGCATGGGTGTGACGTTTGTCACACCCATATCGTCAGTCACTGACAATCAGAGTATTGGAACAAATTCGTTTCAGGGTAAACTGCTTCAAACTGATGGAAGACTATTTATGTGGAGTCAATAGTGAACTCAGTTCTCCTTAAAAAAGTGATCTATGGAGTTCCACAAGGAACGATATTTAGGTCTCTGTTGTCTATTCATATCAATGAATTATTCAATTTATTTACTGGTGTACAATTTATTTACTGGCTTGTATATCAAAATATTATTTGAATATTTACAGAATGCTACCCAAACTGAAGAACTGTGCAGAAGCTCATGATAAAGCGGGGTGTGAAAATCCTATCACAAGACAAGCTAGCAATCAATTTTTTGAAGCCGTGGAAGATGCAACTAAAGATGATTGTGATGCAATAAATAAACCTTAGGTTGTGGCAAAAATAGACTGTACATTTATCTGAAAATCAAAGTGTATAAAAACTATTTAGTGTTGATATGGTTTTATTTTTGTAAGAAAACATTACTTATAGAAGGTGAAATAAAACCCTTTATATTTTTAGACAGTTTGATAGTATATCAAATTCTTTTTTCAACGATATATCACAAGTGACCATTCCATTTTCTTCAAATTCAATATGGTGGCACTATGAAAATATTCTCAAACAACTTTTTATAGTGATAAAAAATAATGAGTATGCTAACTTCATAATTAAAAACTCAAGAAGTGAAAAATTTCACCAATACATGTACTTTACATTTATTTTCATTGAATGTCGTTATTTATTTCATGTACCTGTAAAATTTTGTTAAAAGTGACATTTTTCAAATCTCAAGATCAAATTGTATCTCTTTCACTACAAAAAGTGTCAAAGATGAGGCTAATTTTTCGGTGCCACTGAAAAAGTGTACCTATCTTTAAAATTTTTTGTAGGAAGGAAGAAAGTATAGACACCTCTCTTACTGTTGAGGTTTNCAAAGAGCATACTATATAGCTTGTTAAAATAAAATAAAATAATGTTGTTGGGTTTACTGATTACTACATAAGGACACATTGCAAAAATAAATTTAGATAGGCAATATCGTGAAATTAATTTTTATATAGCAGAAAATTGTTTTATATAAGCATATATTGTAAAATAATAGATAAGGCAAAATTGTAAAATTAATTTAGGTTGGTATACCTGTATGGTTGGTACGCCTGGATGGTTTACCTATATGGGTTACCTTTATAGCATAAACAGGATTAGCTCTCACTAGTTTCTAGTTTTAATCTTCCTCTTTGAAGATGATCACTTGGTGATCGAAACACGTGTCGAGGTGTTAAAAATAACGATTTGGTGTTGGGAAAAAACTCCAGTAATTTCCAGTACTACACCAAAGGTTCCAAACAGTGCATCATAAGTATAATATGACAATGTCGAATTGAAGGGGTTATATTTTTAGGAGTGATTAATTTTTGGGAAAGATTTTTCCTTTCTACTACTGGAGTAGTAGAAAGACAAAAACTTTCTTTGCCAAAAATGACGATGTGAATATCTACAATATTTTCGGGTCATATTGCGGGTAATAATTTATATGGTCTGTGAGGGTATGATCTTCGTGTTACATAAGCTAAAATTACATAACTAGAATGTTTTTATGTTTTATGAATTATTGATTACGAAAATAATGTCTTCTTTTCAGTAGATACGATAAGCTAATCATTGACCTTTCACTCCATAAAAATTAAGTTCACTTGAACGTTTAAAAGGCTCGATACACAAGTACCTATTATCCATTTCAACTTGGGTTCTGTGATTTAAAAAAATACAATGAAGACGTTTGCGATATTAACAGTTTTCCTCTTTGCGTATGGTGAGTAAAAGTTTACTTGATGTAGAGTTATTAAAAATATATAAATCTATGCAGTTTTCATAATACACTACATGTTTAATCTGAAAACAAAAACAAAGTCTTAAGCCAATACAGCAAACGTAAATTAGATATAATGATTATTAACAAGTTAACCTATAGCATAACATTGATTGGCAAATGATAAATTAAAAAAATTTATTTATTATTTTAGGAACGTGGCAACAGCTGTACAAAATATAGGTATTGAATGTTTGGTAAATCATTTATGGAGATTCTATTTTCTCATTTCAACTGTAGGAGATTAATGATTTTTTTTCTTCGTAGAAGTTTATGTGAAAACAATCATTCGGATATTATTTGAATTTTTCAAAGAAATTTACACATCCAGAATTGAGTATGAAAAATTGAAAGAAAATAATGATGATAGTTTGTGAATTTCAAAATGATCATTTCCGTACTATAGAAATACAGTTAAGTTGACTGTGCTGAAACTTTAGTTAACTATATTTATACATTGTTCTTAAAATGATTTTCTTATAAGTCAAACAGTTCACTGTTAAAAAATCTGGAAAAACCCAAAAACAGAAAAATTCACGGGAAACAGTTAGTATATAAGTATAAAATGATATTTTTCTTTTACCCCACCCGCATTATAATACAGCTTTGAAGTAAGTCTCGCATATCACAGTAAATGTTGATGTTCGTCGTTATTCCCTTTTTTCGATAAATTCAAATTATTCAAGATAACTTTTTGATACTACCATTCTTGTTGAATTGTCTTATTGAAAATTCATTACTATATTGTTTCGATTTGTTATTTTTCCAGCACTTGCTGATGACTCTAATGAATCCAAATCATTGGAAGAGGACGATATAAAAGAATTGGCAGAACTAGTGAAAGATAAATTTAATACCACAATTATTTACGATTTATTGAAACTAGCTAAAAAAGCAGAAGAGAAATGCCCTGATATTGAAGGAAAAATAGAAGTAAGTAAACCAATATCAATGATTTATAAGATATTTGCTTCAATATGTCGAATTTGATAGTAACAAACATTGAGAATAAAGAAAGTGGTTTCATTAAGAGTAAAATCTGAAATTAGGTCAGTTAAAAGGTATGCATACCTACCNGGGGTGAACTAATAAGTTTGCCTTTTCTACATTATAAGTTCTCCATTATAATTTTTATATTTTTCAGATTGTGGAAGGTACAAAAAAACCCATAAATGTATAACATTCATAACCATAAATTTTAATCATGAATGTTAGGGAAAAGTATTTTCTCATTTTCAATTCAGGAAAATATTCGCTACGTCAATTGGTTGGAAAAACATTCAAAATTGAAAAGGGGATATTTCAGAGGAGATCAGAGTTTCTTGGGAGAAACTTTTTGGTTTTCTACTGTTCCATCATTGAACAAAAGAAATGCGAAATTTTCAACAAAAAAAAGATAATGAAAATAACTACAACTAAAACTCTTCATGAAGGTATATTAGATCATACATAGAGGTGCTTTCAGATACAAACTGGAAGAAAACGTTTTGAAACAACTACTTTCACTTGAACATTGGATTACATAAAAGGTAAAAGTGATTCAAGTAACATTGTATTCTGTCTGAAAAATACGACTCAGTCTTTGAAAAACGACCATGACTAATTTTTTTCATATGGAACACCCTGTATATTATTCAATTTTCAGCCAACCAATGTGACAACTTTGATCAACTATGTCCTATACCTATCTCTGACCGTTAATGAGATATGAACTATTTCTAAAAAAATTTGCTCCTATGCAAGCATTAAATTTCCAATAAAATTAAAAATCAAGTAGGATTTGGGAATCTCTTGAATAAACAGTCAAGAGGACATAGTTCAATATTGATAACCTAGCCATTACGATATTCAAGTATCAACAAGACAAATAGAATATTACTAGAACTTCATCCCAACACCAAAGTGTTATTTTAACACTTCGACACGTTTCGATTACCAAGTGATTATCTTCAAGAGGAAGATTGAACAGTTTAATCTTGAATCTGTGCTTCATATAACAACAACTTCAATCTTGTGACTTTTTATAAAGCCTTCTGTCAACAATCAATTTCAAAACTTAACTAAGTGAACTTTCTCTTCATCAACTTACTAACAGTTTTAACAAAGAGTCAATTGCTCAATGTATATTCTGCTCAAGTGAAATCAAGACAGGTATGGTTTCTGAGGTGGATCTTCCCCTGTAGGAAATGTTTTTATAGTACAAACGTGTATTTTGAGGTGCATAGCGAATTGTTAAGAAGTATGGTGTCTTAACTCTGACATGGGATTATATTATTGAACTTTCACAACAAATCTGAAATGTCTTCAACATGATACTAGGGTCAAGAACAGTTTTCGTTGTACCTCATAATGACGTCATCTGGACCGGAATACATTGGTCCAAAGATATATAACCACTTTCCAGTTCATTCAAAAAAGCATTAAATGATTATTTATCGGAAAAATGTTTCTATACTTTACAGGAATTCATTGAATAATTCCTATTAATTTCAGTTTTAGATTATGAGCCTGTTTTACCCTTTTTTTTAAATTTGTATCTGTACTAATAAGTATATCTAAATTTGAGAGTTTGTGATGATGGATGTATATTTGTATGTTTGTGGCTCTTTCACGCCTAAACGACTGAACGGATTTAGATAAAATTTTACATGAATACAACTTATACACCAGAATAATATACAGGGTGTAACTGAATAAGTGTAAAACATTCAAGGAGGTGATTCCTCATCGAAAAAAATATAG